TCTACCCCTATACTTACCCCATACACTGCCCTTATTCAAAAGTTATCAGAAACGCTAACATCAAAATAGCATCAGCTGAAGAAATCATCGTTTCTTTCCTAATTATATTAGAGCCAATCACCTATTTCTAGAGTATCAGTAATACACATGTACCATTCCAGAAAAAAGCTACATGAGTCTGATATCTCCACAACAATCAAAACCCAGAATTTGTTCAGATTTCAGTATGTGCTATCGGGGTATACAATTCTTCAAAAATTAAATGTCAAAAACAATTTTGTTATTTTTTTTTTTAAATTTGGCAACTGAATTTAATGGGGATTCCATATCTGAAATATACATTGTAACTGATCCAGTACTTTTAGAATTATTTTTTTAAATTTGTGCTTCAAAATCGAAAAACCTTGGTTGAAAATCAAATAATGTGTCACCATTTTGTTATTAACAAATGTTGCATACATTTGGTTCTTTTTTTTAAATATGATTGATGGTAATTGCCAAGCAAATGTTACCACTATTCTCTACAATGATAATAGGTAACTTCCAGATGGTTTCCCAGACACCAACACTTGTACCCATGGGAAGATACAATATCCTGATGAATGGTTTATATGTGTCTACATCTTACAATTAATTGAACAGTTTGTTATCTTTTCAGATGGAGCTGAGTAGTTACTAAAGTAAACTATTCACAAATTTATGAGTAAAACAAATAAACAATCCAGTGGGAGGTAAGCAGTGTAGGATGCAATCCCCTTTCACAGTCAAAATACTCAACACAGCTGTTTCCGCCAATCATGGGTCACAATTGATTCAACGTAATTATTATCTTTCCTGTTAATATTCAGGGCAGCATTTTTTCACACATTTCACTTATATTCTCTAATGTCAGTTAGAATTACATGTGCACACTCTATTCATCAGTTCGAGCATTGACCAAGCGAAAACAACTTTCTATGATTTTTAAATTTGCAAGAGAAAAAAATGTTTAAATTAAAAATAAAATTTAAAGCTGAAATTTAATTTGATATTTTTAGAGTGCAGAAGCTACTATTCATTAATCAAATTATAAAAACGTGTTTTTCATTTCTAACTTTGCCTAATGGAAATTCAGCAACAGCTGAAACAAGTGTTACAAATGATACAAAGAAAAATAATTTTAATCACCATATTGAACTCCTTGACACATATTTAACAATAATTTCATTCAGGAATGCATGATTCACTCGATACAAATGCACCGTGTGAATCATTTTTGTACATTTTAAAACCAAATAATTACATGTAATGTTCCTTGTACAGAACATCCCTATTACGAAGGGACAACAGTTGCTCCCAGCGGGAGACACCGTGTAAAACATCTTAGTCTGTGTTGTTCAATACTCCTATCTCAGACAAAACCCATTGATTAAGCACCAACTGAAATGAAGCTATACACAATAACAACTTCTAAATGTGAAGTTTCAATCAAATTGTTTTTATTATCTGTAAATGCCTTTGTACATTCAACCAGGAACATAGCCCCGAGGTAAGTTTTCATACTGACAACTGAAAGTCAAGTTAAAACTATCTGTTCCAGTCAGTTAACAAACTGCTTGGATTTCATATGCCTGGATGAAGGCAATAATTGAGGTTTTCAATCAAATACATGTAGTTGATCGGAAACAGAGTTCAACTGTACCCCTGTCATTTGCACTATGACCCCC